GACTAAAAGGCTTAAATGATCTCCTGCTGCCACTTGGGGCACGCCTGTGAAAGTTATTCAAAGCAGGAAACTTCAAATCAAACAATTTAGGAGGTCCTTTCAGGGGGAAATGCTTTTCCTGATGTTCTAGGTTTTTGTTTGTATTTCTTCTTTATTTAAGGAAGCCTCTTGAGATGCAAAACCTCTATTTGGTTAGTGTTTGTTTGTATCCCATTTAGCTCTGCCTTACCATTTGAAGGTTGCACCAGAAATGGAACAGAAATGTGAAACCAATTAGTCACACCTCGTGATACTCTGGCCTCCTTTTCTTAGAGGAGGACAGACTTTCCTTTGGACATGAAGGCATCCAGCAGGAAGGAAAGTGGAGGCGATGCAACACATTGTATATTTGGCATAAGGAAGGTGTCATTCTGAGGGAAATGTAATGAATGATGCAACAGAGAGAAATGTAGGGTGCCAGACAGTCTGGTTCCGACTCTGGTGTGGGGTGGACACTATGTGTACAGATAGCAGCTGATCGTGAGAAAGCATGTGTGAATGTCCAAGTGTTATATGTTCGTACGCACGCTCTTTGTTTGTGTGTAATGCTTTGTATAGGGTGCAGGTGTTTATGAGGTCGGGATTTCACTTCACTGTGAAATGTGACGGCAGGAAGTGAGGATGATGAGGAAAAAGGAACGAGTGTTTATTCTGGACAACAGGGTAATTCACCCGAGTGGTTTACACACTGAAAGCGAGCGAGAACTAGAAGGGTCAGCGTTCACTATCTAGGTGTTGAATTCCATAGCCATGAGAAGGAAAAGCAATTGGAAGCTCGGGATGGAGAGAACATTTTTCATTTTATTCATCTTTAACTTGGAGAGTAGACGGCAAAATGTCCCTCCCATTGGAGTCGTTCTACTCTGAGGAAGATTAATGACACTTTGTCTTAGAGAAAATGTGTCTGTTTGAACATATTTGTTTGCTGTGGAAGGACGTTCATCGTGCCAAATTTGGGCCAGGCGATTCTTTTTCTCGCCATTGAGAAATTGCAGAGAGGATACGAAGAATCAGGTTCATGCCACACAGCCATTATGTGAAATATTTCTCCTCCACAACAGCAGACACAAACAATGAAAGCGTAGCCCCGTTTTTTACTTCATTCAATTCAGCCTGTGACTTCTCCGACTTCCAGAGCCGAGACGCTTCAGAGATAGCAGTCGGTGTTCATTACGCTGCGAGTGCGGGTCTCCAGTGGGTTGATATCAAAGAGGGTTTTCACAATGCGATACATAAAAGCTTTCCACTATTGTTGGTTATCAAGGCAAAGACCTCTCCGCAAATTAAACGCTCAGCTTGCAAGACAAAGTAGTGAGGCGCGTAACACAGTTGTCATCTTGGTAAACGTTGCTGTTTTATCAATTGCTTGGAGTGTGCGAGGCGAAGGGGAGCGCAATAAATCTCCCAGGGGATGGAGAGAGCAGTGAAGTGGTTGGAGCAAGAGAAATTAGGGGAGGTGAGAGAGGTGTAAGGAGAAGGAGAGAACAAGAGGGCGAAGTCATGGAAAGCACAATGCGTTTATTGCTTAGTCAGATGGCCCGTTGTCGTCAGATATGACTAATCAGCACTTCCTAATGCAGCTGTGATCAATCAGCCTGACTGAAAACTACAAGCAGTCTGACAGAAAGATTCATCTCCAGAGCTCAGCGAGAGGAAACAGTGCTCATCCACAGAGATCACAATGATTTCCTCATGAGTTTCCTTTGACAATATATGCTACTTTTCTTGTTGATTCGCACTCACTACGGATTTACAGAGCCGCGTTTTTCGGTTAATGTATGGTTGAAGTAGGGCTGTGCAATTAATCGTATTTTAATCGCAATTACGATTTTGGCCACAATTACAAAAACAACATAATCTAAAAAAACTATTATTTAGCTTTGCTAGGTTGTGACAGCGCACTACAACGTGTTTGATCTAATTAATTTTTATTTATCATATATATGTTTAGTAGCTTGTGGAAGTGCGCTCCAAAGTATTTGTTGATCTTGTTTATTGGTATTTATTATTTTGATAGTATTTATTTAAATATATCATTTATTTAATTTACTTTTTGGATTCGGTTTTTCCAGTTGAATTATACGTTCAGGGTAATCAACAGTTAAAAAGATACTGTTCAAATTATTATTCCAATAAATGGATGTTTTCAAAGTTAATGAATAATAGTATTTAATAATCTTGATATCAATTGTTGACCAAAATAATCGCGATTATGATTTTTGCCATAATTGGATAATTGGATTTATGTTTGTGAGAAACTCCAAATGACTGCTTATATTACTGTCAGACAAATTGGCCTGTTTTTTCTCCAATAAAGTGATAATATGTCAATGTTGTAGAGTCCTCTCCTGCTGATGTTCAGGTGTATATCAGTATGTAGTGTCTCTACTTTAAAGAGTCCTCTCCTGCTGATGTTCAGGTGTATATCAGTATGTAGTGTCTCTACTTTAAAGAGTCCTCTCCTGCTGATGTTCAGGTGTATATCAGTATGTAGTGTCTCTACTTTAAAGAGTCCTCTCCTGCTGATGTTCAGGTGTATATCAGTATGTAGTGTCTGTACTTTAAAGAGTCCTCTCCTGCTGATGTTCAGGTGTATATCAGTATGTAGTGTCTCTACTTTAAAGAGTCCTCTCCTGCTGATGTTNCCCCTCTCTCCCTCACTACGCATTGAACTCCCCTCCCTCCCTCCAAAACAACAACCTTTTCTATTATTCTTTTTAATGTTGCTCCCCCTGCCTTTGGCTAACTGCTAGTGACCTACTTGTTTTGGTTTTCGGTTTTTGCCACGTCTTGTTCCGTGTTAAAATAGAATTACAAAAAAGCATTTTGTTCTTCTGTTAATTATTACCGGCCTTTGTTGAATACGCACAGCAGCCCAAAGTGCAGTGTCTTAAACGAGCAGATGCTTTTTATAACAGCGGAGCACGAAATGTAGCTACTAAGTGGGGCACTAGAACTGTAATAATGAAATACTCAAGGCCAAGCAGATGCAATAAGCAGCTCCAGCTTCAACACAAGCACCATAACTGCAGTTACAAGTACACAACTTAGTTAAGGTGTATTTTTCCTCTTTCTCCAAACAAGTGCAACTCAAAGCAGGGCATTTCATCATCGCCGATGTGACAGCTGCTTACGTTATTTCCAAATGTAATGAAGCATGAAACAATTAACATGAAATTACCGCAGCCAGAAAAGGTTACATGCTTTCAATTGTGACAGTCAGTCACATCATTGTCTCATCAGTTGAGGTTAATGATCAAAACTGATTAGAACATTGGTAATGTTTTTGATTTTATTGCACACAAAAAAAGGCATAAATACAGGTGTCGCCAGTACCACGTGCAAATATAATTATAGCAATTAGAGAAAGACATTCAAATGTCAGGATACTCAAAAATCCATTGGCCTCATTCAAATGGTGCTTGTCACAGATTTAAAACAATAACCGCTTGTTCCAAAGATGACCCGTATATCACCATTATTTTCTCCCCTGAAATCCATGACTTCCTTGTTTTTGTTCTTTTACTTTTGTCTTGCACTGTTGAAATTGCCCCATCCATCCCAACATCCCCCCCTTTGACTTAGGCTTTCTACCACTTTGGACTGAGCAGGCATGTGATCTTGCCCTGTAGCGTAGCTCTAAAACTACTGTAACAGGTTCTCATGCTGTATTGTTGCTTATCCCCTCTCTCCTCTCTCTTCTCCTCTCTTTTTCTTTACATACGTAACCTCTTATGTATCTGCTATCTAAAAAGTGCCCATTAATGGTAAGTTTTCCCAAGTGGGCCCTGGGTTGGGGGAAGGAGGTGGTGTTTTTACTCATAAAGCAAGCCAAAAGTGAGAGGCTGCTTCTGACATGGACATTTTGACATTTATTGCATGACCAGTGGACATGTTAGCATCTCACCACCCTCCGTACCGTGCCACCAAGCCACCGTTAGCCTAGCATGGTCAAAGTGCGTACAGTGCGCCATGGCAGCATCACCCCATGCATTCTCCTCCCATCTCCGCTTCCCTCCTGTTTTAAGTTATTCTTTTGGTTTGATTTTTTTTTTCATTTATCGGGGAACAAACGGGTGGCAGGGGGTTTGAATCGGCGCTGTGATTGTGTGATGCTTCTGACGGTGCCTGCTGCGACATGCTCACTGTGGCCCACCGCACCCCCCTCACACCCTCCTCCTCCTCCTCCTCCTCCTCCATGTTTCTGGACACCCTCCATCGTCCGCTGGCTCCCCACAGCATCTGTGCCTCATGTCTGCCACTCACTGGATTACAGTATGAAAGAGCTGGAACGACTCAATAAGAGCTGCTGCCCAAACCAGCATACTGTAGTGCCAGTAAAAAAAAAGAATTTAAAAAAAAAGAGTAAACTTGTTGTTTTACAGCATCTTCATGTGGATTTTACAATGGCTCTTTACTGTTTCCTGCAGTCGAGGGCCGCTGACTCCTCTTATTCTGACAGTAGCCGTATTAGATGCGAATAGTAAAAGTGCTTTACTTAAACGGCCTCGTATGTTCCCGGCTATGAGCTGTCATACAGTACACTAGGCCTGTAGTATTGAATATTTTCCAGCCACACAGATGGACAGATGGACCTGAACCTTCCCACCACATGATTCATCCTATTACTCAATGATGTTGTGTTGTTGTGACCATCCATAACAAACAGATTACTAGTTAAAAGTTGTTTGTCAATCTGGAGGGTGGTGACATAATGCTTAGCAGTAAATGAGATAATGTGCCATCTGTTAATGGGAACGGTTGTAACTGAGATGATTTGGTAGAAGATGGACAAGGCAACAAAAACTCTTGTCAATTAACTGGTAAAATACGGCTGAAATATTCTGCGTTAAGCATTATGTCATCCACGTGTATCTGATAACAATATACTGATAAATCATCCAGCTCCCACCTCTCCCTGCTGACCTGCTCCGGCCTGTCCCTGTGTTTGTGTCCCGCAGACGAGAGCCAGAACATGGGCAGCGACACCAGCAGTTTGGTGCAGTCTCACACTCACTCTCTGAGGAAGCGTGAGCCGGTGGATATACCGTACCAGACGGGTAAGCTGCACCCGGCCATCCGCGTGGCCGACCTCCTGCAGCACATCACCCAGATGAAATGCTCCGAGGGCTACGGCTTCAAGGAGGAGTACGAGGTAGGACGCAACCCGGCTGTCACCCCCCACTATTAAGGTTGCAAACACAAATAAAGCCCGTGATAGACTTGTATGTTCTCTACGGAAATCCTTGAGTGGAAATGTTTTTAAGTCTTATACAGAGGTAGGAAGTAAGTACATATTACAACTCCACTACAGTTAAAAGGGAATATATTGAATTATACACCACTACATTCATTTAACAGCTAAAATGAACTACTCTAAAAATGTAACTCTTTAAGTCCAAAAAGAGTCTAATTATTTGTATATTTTACAAAAACTCAACTTTGTTTGTCTATAACAGTAAAATGCTACTTAATGCAACAATATTATCTAGAAATGTGAATGTCACATATACATATGATTATATACACACATAAAGGCAATTTTCCTGCACAATCATTACTCTTACTTTTTATACTTTAGGTACATTTATCTGATCCTTTTTTAGTTTTACTTAAGTAAGATTTTGAATGCAGGACCTTTACTTTTACTTAAGAAGTATCTTAAGTACTTCTTCCACCACTGATCTGATCCGAGGCTTCATGTGGCCCGTCTCTGTCTCTTTCTCTGTTTGTGCACCTCACAGCAGAACAGTTTTGTTTCTCCCCAGATGCACTATTATGATAAATTGTTAATGTACCCCGTCTCTGTCTGTTTACGGTGTGATTCCTTTTGTTGTTCATCCGTTCCTTGTTGTTTGCAGCGGTGCGTGTGTTTGTGTCGAATGCTGCTGTCCCAGTCCCCCCCTCAGAGACTCAGCTGTAGCCCAACGTGAAATGCAAAATCCTCCCCAAACGAAAGAAAAGTGTCTTCAACATACGCAGCTGTTGTAGCTAGCTGTGTGTTAGCCATGTCCCATCCTTCATCTGAATCGGGTCCAATCAGGCTGCCTGCTGCTCTCTTAAGACTGTTGTCACACAACAGCATTGGTAATCTGACACCAGGCCTCTCGCTGACACCAAAACAAAAGATTTTGCCCCAGAAGAGCATCACTCTCATTTCCTCTCATTAGTGCGGGAGGCTGGCAGGGCTTGGCGGCCCTCCAGCCTCCTCTCCATCCCTCAGCTCCCCAGCAGCCTGCCTCTCTCACCCTGACGCCACGCTGTAACACACTGACTTCAAGCAAATCCTGTCTTTCAATCTGACATCACACTGGTCTTTCTCTCTGATAGCAATTTTTATTCTTACATTATCTGTCTTTCTTCATCACCTTCCCACATCATCCTCCCCCTTCTCCTTTTTTTCCATTACATCTATTTGTTCCTGAACATATTGCCTGTTCCTCTGAAGTCCTCTCTCTTGCTTCACCCCTTTTTTTCTAATGTACTTATCTTCACCTTATTTCCTTGCTTCCCTCTGACTCTCTTCATCCCCCTCCCTGCTTATTTTCACTATGTGCGGGCCAGATTTATCAGTAATGAACTGCCCACTTTCCCCCTCATGACTCCAGAATTAAATAATGCTGCCTCCCATTGCTACCTGCAGCATCAGATCATTGAGGAACTGAAGTGCTGTGGGCTGCCCTCTGGGCCTAATCCATTATGGATAAAGATGTTTTGGGTTCACGTGGCCGGCATTGCAAGGATGCATTAAAGTCAATCAAAAGGAAGCCACAACAAACTATTGGCCCCGTCCCCTTTCATCACTTAGCTGAGGGGCTCATTCTCACTTTGCTACAGCGAGTCGTCTGTATGTTGTGATGCTGTCTTCTCTATATCAATCTGTCTTAAGGTTAATGCCCTTTTTTAACGTTTCTTATTGATGATGAGATTGGAGCCCCTTGCACCTCTAAACCTGTTGACTTACACTGTGCCATATCTCTCTCCGACCCATGCTTCTTGTTATTCTGTACGTTAACTTTGGATCAGATAAACGAGGTAAGCCTATACTTTTGGTTATTTATAGTTTTTTTTATATTAACGTGTCGATGATATCACAAACCTGATATATGGTGCTTGTTGGCTGTTTTCTTAAAGCCCTGTGGGATTACATCTTCTCACTTTTTTAATCTAATCTGAAAAGGGCATTTACCAACAGAAGCTATGCAAAGTTATTACCAAAGCCTTTGGAAGTGTACAGATGATGAAATGTGTGAAACAGTGAGATTATTATTTGACTTTTGTCTCTGTGAAAAGTTTTTTTCAGAAAATGTGATAAATATATCTATGAATACACAACAGCTCATGTTTCTTTATAAAAGCTTTTCAAAAGCAACACCAGTTGGAATAACTCCAAAATTATTAATTATATATTTTGTAAGATTCACTCACAGTAGCATTTTACACTGAACTAGTTAATTACAAATGTAGGTGTGGGTCTACATATTCATTAGTTTGTTTCGTTAGCACAGAGCCAAACCCAGCAAATCCCAAAAAATTAATTAGCAATTTGGACCAAACAGATGATATGACTGGTAATTGGAAAACACCATGAAAACACAGAACAACACATCCCACTTTTCAAACTCTTCTATCTTGTATACTTCTCAAAAGCTATAAGACCGGTTTTTTGCATGTCTAAATTCTTCTGCACGTTCACACGCAGTTTAAGTTAGCAAACTGTAAATGTTAAACAGGTTTCAACTGCTTTTATAGATGTTATGTTGTCATTGAATTTGACTTGTTTTCAGCTTTTTTTAAGTGGGATTTGTTGCTTCAATTGGCTCCATACTACAAAAACTATACATATGAGACTCCTTTTCTCTCACAGTAAATTATTAATTCAGAAGCTGCGCACTAACTCCGCTTCTTCTTTTTGTTAACATCCTTTTTTTACCCACATGGTGTGTATCGTTTGTCAAGTGCTCTGTTGTCGCTTGACTGTATGTAGGTTTTCCCATAGTGATTGAATTCATGCTTTTCACTAACAGTAAGTGGTTACGGAGAAAGAAACAGACTGTGCTGGGACTGGAGTGCAGCAGGTAGTCTGTAATTAAAAACACACCACGTTGGATCTGAGCCAATGGGGATAATTAGTGGATGGTGAAACGCTACCTGCAGATGCACGAGAATGAAGTACAACACTGACCTTTCCTGCAAAATAGTTTTTTACAGATGGAGCCAGGCGTTGTTTTTCAATTACTGTCTGATGAATTTTAGGCAGCCAATTATTCCCAGTGTGGGTATAAAGCCTTTAAATCGAGAGCCTTCATATCATCTCTCCCTCTTGGGACACTAACTACTTTATCGGCATAATTTATTTTTCTGAATCCAGCCTCCAAACAGCCTGAGGAATGAGACCATTGCATCTGAGACAGGCAGGGTCACTCATTTTAAGGGAGAACTATTATAAAGTAGCCCAGTAACGCCTCTCGGCTCGAACATGATTTGTCTTCACATGCTTGATATTAGACCTGTATCCTTCGGAGTGACAGAGGGAGCGACATTGGCCCGACCCCTGCACTTACTCAAGACATACTGCCACGGGAGGAGAGGCCCATATAATCCATCTCTGGGACATGCTTCCATCTTCTCTGGAAGGATGGGACATATTTTTAGCATATTTAAGCTGTTTCTCAGGGAAATCACTAATCCTTAGGACTTAGTACAGGAACGTGTCCTTGTGCGGTGTCTGAAAGGCCTTTTTATTTGCGAGACAAACGGCCCGCTGTAGCTCTGAGATGAATGAAACCATCAAGTCCCAGAACACTGATGATTGAAGACAATGCCTCCCGCTCTCTCAGACCGGCTATCAGTATTAAAAGGAGCTCTGCAAACAATCTGTTTAACCTCCGATAAATGCTCGCCAATCTTTACTTGCAGATGGTCTGCAGTCTAATGTATTAGCAGAGTTTTTAAATGTGCATTAGCTGACTATCAAAAAGCCAGAACAATAACATGTTGTTGTCCCGGCTAGTCTGCTCGGAGCCACCCCCCCCCTCCCCTTACAGAACAGCGGTGGACTGGCAGTGGAGATGTATTTTCATAATTTGGCTTAATTGTGCCTGGTGTGCCATCAGAATGGAAATCTCCCCAGCGAGAGATGATACATATTTCATGAGGGTAATCTGAGCGGAACAGTTTTTTGATCTGCAGACGATGAGCTGGCTTTATTTTTCCCCGCGACGAGTTGATTGAGTTCTATAGATGAGACAGTGAGACAGACAGACAGACAGACAGACAGACAGACAGACAGACAGTCAGTCAGACAGTCAGACAGACAGTCAGACAGACAGACAGACAGTCAGACAGTCAGACAGACAGACAGAAGCAGACAGAAGCAGACAGACAGACCAACAGGGGGAGAGGTTTGAGCGTGAGACCCGCTGCCTCTGCCCTAATGGCCCTCACTGTTTGACACAGCTCCCCAGGTTCCTCCACCCTCCCGGTGTTTCACGTCCAATAATGATGTGGATATATCTCTCCCTGTGTCTTCCTTTCCTGTTGCCAATGCTCCATTCCTTTTTTTGTAGATCTGCAAAAGGAAGACTGTGTTCTTTAGCCTGGTTATCATTTAGAGTGCTCACACATGACACCATATTTCATCTCGCCCTCTCTGTTTTCTGTCTTTTCAGAGCTTTTTTGAAGGACAGTCTGCGCCATGGGACTCTGCCAAGAAGGATGAGAACCGCATGAAGAACCGATATGGGAATATTATTGCATGTGTGTACAAAGCACCTCCTGAGCGCTCATGAATTTGTGTGTGCCGTTCCAATTCTTCCGGCTGATTTATTGGCCGGGCTTGTGACTCTGGATAACTATAAGCTGCTCAAACAGAGTTTTTATTATCAGCCAACGAGAGCAGCTTTGACCTTTCCAATCTACTTTTATATTCATCTTCCCGTCTTTTCAGTTATGAGAAATAATCCGTGCAGCAAATGGCACGTAACATGTAGCCTCTGCAATGTTTATAAAAATGAATTTGAATTGAATATCACTATTTATTCATATTGACAATTCAAAGTTGTCTCAACAGTTGAGCTGTAATGCAAATTGGCTGATTTACCCTGATTGGACAGTTCAGCTAAGTCTCGTTGAGCGCTGCTATAAGAAAAGAAAACTAGAACAAGATTACTTTGAATTTACTTAAGAATGCAAATGATATATTTAAATTTAAATAAAGATGGAAATGAATGACACAAAATATATAAATATAGTCGAGGCATGGATCCTATTTCACAAATCCATGTCACCATATATATTTGTCCTTATTCCAAATAATTGTATTGCAGTTTGGCCTATCTCACTGCTGATCTTAATCAGAAAGTTTTTTTTTTTGTAAAGTCAAGGCTCCAAAAATGTAAGTTTCATTTTAAGTTTTTGCTATTTTCATATCCGGTTTTAAACTTAAAGGTGAGCTATCATGCAAAATGCACTTTTGTACGTCTTTTATACATGAACATGTGTCCCCGGTGTTCCAGGGAACTCACCAAGTGTCAGAAAACACAACCCTCTCTCTTTTCCTCCATACCCAAATCTCTAAAAAAGGGGCTGCAACGNTGAAGAAGAGGGGACACATGTTGATGTAGAAGAGACATGAAGAAGAGGGGACACATGTTGATGTAGAAGAGACATGAAGAAGTGGATTTTACATAATAGGTGACCTTTAAATATGTGTTTGTTGAGTAAAAACGGCACCTTGTTGTCCATGTCTTTCTTCCCGACAGCTGATTGGAGGGCGTGCAGCAGGGCGTCCACCAATCCCTCGCATTCCCTCAGTCTGCGGCGAGCCTCGGCCCCGTCGGAGCTCACATTTCTGTAGAAAAGAAAGTCAGACAGGAACACCGTCAGTGAGTAGGAGAGAGGAATGTAGAGGAACAACAACCAGATTTAACCACACTGCAGGGATAGGATTCACGACACAGCTCTTCTGCCATTTCTGCAGCTATTCGGCGGGAAATTATTAAGGTTGTGAGGGAAGATATGTTATACTTAAGATCGAGAATCCTCTAAAGTATATATACCATACGATGTAAGATTTCTATGGTATTTGAAGGTTTTTTATTGTATTGTAGTTTCCAACGATATACGTGGGCCACTAGTCATTATCTTAAATGTAATCAAATAAACAACCGAAATCCACTAGGCAGCACTACCATTACTCTAACTGTTAGTTGTGTGATTGTTTATTCAACTGCTAGTACTTAAAGGTAGGGTAGGTAATTTTGGAGAAACCAGCTCGAGTGCGCGAGAATTTGAAAATACACAACCGGAAAAAATCTGCCCCTCTTCCTTCAGACTTCCTTCCAGAGCCCCTCCTCCAACACACACGTACGTGCACATGAATGACCAATGAGGGCACGAGATAAGTTTGTGCACAGATGGAAGGCTGACAGGCAGGTAGGCCATCCAGTTACTTTAGCCGGGCCGGCTCAGATGATTGGTCGTGCTTTTTACAGCGCCACGGCTTCCACAGATGACATTTTTTTATGTATTTATTGTCAAAGCACTTCAGATATTCATTGCTATCGGGATGTTAAGAGCATTCCATGGAATATAACAAAAAAGTGTTTTTGAAATAAATAACATACCCCTCCTTTAATAATGCAAGAAAGTAATACAAAAACTTAAAATATAAAAAACTAAAAAGTTCTGAATGTGTTTTTTGTCTTCACTCATTAATTTCAGTTTCCGACATTACAATGAAATCCTACTTTTTTAGTTTTACGGTTCCCACAGAAAGATATTTTTCAGACTGTGACGTGCAGATGTATAACTGTTAAATAAGACATTGAGATTTTTTGGGTTCACACGTGACCCTTTATCTTTCCTGTCTGCCTCAAAAGTACAAAGCAATAAAAGCCAGACTGCTCAAGGAATAATCTTAAAAGAATGATGAATACAAATGTATTTCTTGCTACAAAGGGAGATGCCATCCATGTTTCATCAGCCAGCGCTCTGAGCTCAGCTCCTTTAAACTCAGCACAGAGTTAGTGCTTCTGTGAGACTGAGTGTGAACGGAGAGGCTTTAAACCGAGTTAAAGGATAGTCGCGGCTCCCTGCTCCTCACCGGGGACTTCATTTATGAGGGCTCCCAACACACATAACCCCATTAGTCTAGTCATATGTCTTTCAGAGGTAAGCAGAGATACAGTGTGGCCTGAAACCCACATCACATTCAACTGTGTTATAGAGTGGTGTAGTGAGGACGTATTTGTGTCGGCCGACCCGAAAGTAAGCTGCGCAAGGGTTCCCTCTACAATAAAGCAACGGGATTCCTCCATAGGCTTTTTGAATATTGTAAAAAATAAGATCTGTGTTGAACGAACCTGTTTGATAAATACACCTTTTGTTCAGCCGGATAATATACACGTCTATTCGTTAGATTTATGAAAATACGTCATCCCTGCACCACTCTATATGAGGTTTCCAAAAAGGACACTTCTGTCAAGTGTTAACGAATGAATGTGCATGGATTTACACCCCCACCCATTGACTCACAACCAGGGGTCCCAGACATGTCATTTAGCTGAAGCTTTTATACAATTTGACTGACATACATCCATACTGTAGACATGCCTACAGGAGCTATTTGACATTTGAAAGAACATACATAACATTCATCTGTTTGCAACTCACATATATTGTATATCGATATTGCAATTACTGTATATAGACTATTCTGCACAGTTTCTATCATATTCTGTTTAGATTATATTCTATTTTATTGTATTTACTGAGTTGCACTGTGGGAGGAGCCTGTGACCTAAGTCATAACTACACTGTAGCTATGCACACATGAAAATAAAAGCCTTGAAACCTTGAATTTGAGGTTGAGTATTTGAACAAACAAATTTGCCTACAAGTGCCGGGTATCAAACTACTGACTGATTGGGAGACGCCCTTTTAACCCCCGAGCCACAGCCACCCATATTATGGTTTATGATCCAAAATTGGGACCCTCATTTCCCTACATTCACTACACGCATGAAACCTTCCTGAAACATAATTGTATAGGCCATAAGTCTGCGTAGATCATCAACATTTTTAAATGTTATCCTTTTCATCTACAGGTTATTTACCTAAAATCACACAATTGAAATACATAACTTGATTGTATTTTTTTATTCAAATCATACTTTGATTTACACAAAACTTGCCATTTGTAGTCATCGGTTTTTTATTTTAAGTTATTATAATAATCTCCTTAGAGCTCGTATATGACCGTTACACAGGTCATAACTCCCTCTGTCAAATCTTCATTACATTGTTGAGATAAATTCCCCTCTTAAGCCCCAAGCCTGTTTTTCAGAATTCAGGCTCGAAAATCACATTCCCAGAACAAATGACCATATTCCCTTCTAAAAGGGTTAAATTAATAATCTTTTTTCTCAAAGTAATGATAAACCTGTGAGTTGGATGTAGAAAAGTCAGAATCAACATAGATGTTTTTTATTTTAAAGAAAATTCAGATCGAACATGGTAAAAAACTGTAAATGATAGTGTCTGTCCAAAAGATAATTTGTACTTATAGTGAAAACTAACCTTGGATGATGGGTTAGTAGACTAAAAGCTTTAGGAATCCAAAGTAGAACATATAATAAGTACCCATGTATCAAGATTGATG